CAAGTTGCGACAACGAGGTCAACCCACTTCTATAAATCGAAAGGAGACTGCGACCATACCGGAGGCCACATCTTGGTCTTCATATTGTTACCGTGTTACCAAACAGTGTCTCTTGAACCGCACGAACCCCCGATTGGGCCATGTAGTTATCAGCTAAAATGGGGCCTAAACAAGATCCCACATCCAAACCCTGTGTCTGCCCATACAACTTACCATTGATGGTAAAATATTTTTTATACATTGTCAAATTGACTAATCTAATGATAGAACCTTTGCTTAACTGTTTACCTGTTATGATTTCAGGGTGTTGATCTAGAGTTAATTCTAACGCCTTTATTGCCTAGTTTATCGGAATATTAGTGTACATAGACACTACTTCGAAACTTACCAGCAAATCTCATCTTTCTATCGTCTGATCATCAATTAACTTAATAAAGTCGTAGGAGTTCTTTACTGAAAACGTCTAAGTTTTGGAGATTTGTTTTAACTAAGTACATATAAATCGTGGTGTTTTATGCATCACTCTACCTCTATTATTTACAATCATCCTAAGTGGAGTACCTTGTTTATGGATTTTGGGCAGACCGTACGCATTTGGGTGTCTAGCATCTCGCATCTTTGGTGGGTAGCATCCATAACTACCACTGCCCCTCCTTTGTCTGCTCTTAATACTAGTCGCTCGTTCTTAAGCTTACTTATAATAGTCTGAACTGTCCTATTCTTATATGGTGTTTCTACACGACCATCAATTAAAGGGACAAGTTGTAGTTCAATGTCACTCCAAGTATCCTCTTGGAAAGATACGTTAAACTTATCAATTCTACCAACATTCCAGCTTTAAATTCCTTACCATTTGGAAAGGCAAAGTTTAAGTCCTTTGCTGGAACCTCCTCAGTAGAAAAGTCCAATGAAATTTTGGACAAATTTACCACTTTTTCACAATGGCTATCCTTACATTTCAATTCATTAGATGTGGGTCGTTTCCTTTACCTGATTCTTATACCCGAATTTCTTAATTTCTTATCATGTGTCTTCATGACCTGTCAGAAAATCTTATCATGTAAACTATCCGCTATACTCTGGAGTTTCAGGAAGTCTCCCTAACTAAGAGCATCTGACAAGATTTGCCTACGTCTATCCTTAGTTCCAATTAAGGAATGTAGTTTTGGAATGTTTTCCCTAAATCTAAGATAAACCAAATCATGAAGTACGTCCAAAAGATCGGTCTTAGTCTTACAAGGTAAATTAGGTCTAGAAATAATACAAAATCTGGGCGTAATTCTACGGGTAGAGCAAACTTTCACAAAACGAATGTGATTGACTTGACTGGCCAACGACTTTTTGGTTTTTGTATATAATGACGAATTCAGAAAAGAATGAAACCTGTATGCACTTCGAAGATTTGGAATAGCCAATCAAATCATGGGATGCTTCATTAAGATCGCGAAGTTAGTCATACAAAAAGGCGTCTAGGGTTGCAGCCAACCACTTTTTTCCTTGGTTTATTATATTTTTGCTTTATTTCGTGAGGTATGGACACCTGCTCTGATGATGTTCATCCTAGTACAGATGAAAGCTTAGCACAGTTTCATCGGGGTCGCAGGACGGTAAACCTGCACAATTCAACAATCTTCCCTACGCGGCAATCCTCTTTCGGATTCCGGTGAGACCACATCACAAATTCCTTCCAACCAACTTTCCCTTCGAAATGGAGAGTATGCCACAATAGTGCATAGATCTGGAGATCATTCTGACCGTTTTTTTACCTAAGTTAAGCGGCCCATCTCTATGTTAAGTTCAGCAGCCTTAATATTAATTATCTAAGTTTTTAAGTCCATCAACCCACCAGATAAACGCTTTCCAACAGGATTGGCAAAATTTATCTCACTAAATCTGACTTAGCCGAAATTATTCTTACAGATGAAGGTTGCAAAAAAAAAACTTTAACCACAAGAATTTCATCATACTATATATTCATAGATATTTTACTCCTCCATTCAGTCGCAAAAATGCCTGTCCATTAAATTCTTGCAATAATAGTACTTTATATATGCTTATTATACTATTTCTTTATGTTTGTTATTGCATTACAAAGACCCAAGTGTTGGTGGCCATAAATCATTGCCTTTATTTGTGAAATTGATAAATATAATAAGCTGGCCCTCCTGGAAGTCCTATCACCTAAATAGTGCTGCTGACTAAAATCTTGTGGAATGCCGCATGGATAGGATGATACCCTACTCAGGCAGACTTCGTCAAAGACGAATATCTAGACTAAAAAGCAAGAGAATGGGAAAATAGGGTGAATGATAGGTGTAAAGCCAATACCTCAATGGGATCCAAAATCATGACAGCTTCAAAACTAAGGACTAGCAGCAGACGCGTCGAACCTTGCCGGCCGGTCCCTGGACAAAAGCTGAAGGGCGAGAACTTGACACGTCGAATCGCCTCGGGACCAAAGTTTGTGCCTCCGCTGCCACTGGCTGAGGCAGTGGAAGGCCCTGAAGATAAAGACGAGAGGCCAGCAGCCGCAAGCAAACTGGCTGCCTCATTAGGGCCATTAATGACCAGTGCCTCACTGATCAGGCTGGCGACTAAATCAGTCCCATGCCAAGCTACAAGGTACGATTTACCAAAAGTAAGAAAGAGGGTCTTAAGAAAAAAACAAAATAAATACGTTGGAAGAGAAAATATGTCGATAAAAATGAATTCCTCCTAATAATACAAATAAGTATAAAATAATAAAGATGGTATTAATAAAACTAAATAAAGGACATCAGATAGCGCCAATTCAAGCAACATAGCAATCCTCACTTCAAATATGACACTTACTTAAGCATGCGGAATCATAGAAAAAATGAATGGAATTTAAAAGGCTCTTAAAACGGGCAGGTCTCATGCGATACAAGAATAAAATAGACTTAAACTCAAAAAGCCAAACATTCTTTTTAAAAACTGTGTTTTAACCTATTTCTATCATCAAAATTGGTGCAGGATGATCAGTAGAAGTAGTTAATAACTGCTTTTGTTTCGATGCTATAAGGTCGGTCGAGTATTATTAGCTTCTATCGGTCTCTTTTAGGGATGGTAGAGAATCTGACATGCAGACTAAAAGAAATCCAATGCAAAAATCAAGCATTCTTTTTAATAAATATCCAGACAACTCGAAATAAGTCCAAAACATAGTCAACACTGGTATACCTTAATATATGCTGATTGTGGCTGATGGGCAACTGAAAGAAAAAATAGGAAATAGAATGAAAAAAAAGAAGACAACAGATATGAGATCATAGAGAATAATGGATACGGAAATAAAATAAGCAAGATAATAGGGAAGATCGAAACAGATTATATAGAAGCATAACCGTGTCCAAATATCGCGTAAGCTTACTAGAGGCATGCAGACATGCACATGCATAAATATATGCCTCAAGACAGAAAACAGACACAGAGGAAAAACAAAATAAAATACATTAGAAGAATAAGCAGATATAGATAAAAGATCAGATAAATATCGGCACACAGAAGTTCCAAAGGAGCTAAAAGGTAAGAAACAGACTTAAATGGGCATGGATAAGAATGAATAGTTGAACAAGTGAAGGTGCTACTACATTAGAAACTCATGGCCAAACATAAAAATTGCTTCCAAACAAATGTTTCACTTGCTTTAGGATAACAGTAGATAAGTCAGAAACCGAAAACATTTGTAATCAATGTATAATTACAAAAGATCCCGACCAGTTATTTTGTGCTTGCTTCCAAAGTTTACGTCTTCATGCTTACCTTGATCAGAAGACTATTGATAAAGATGTCTTCTATATAGTCAAGAGTATGCTATTAAGGATCGAAGGACGGAAAATATACGTTGCAATTCAGGCAGAATTAGCATGCAATTAAAGTGCTCACTAACTCTCCTGTGGACGTCTGACACGAGAATGATTTAAAAGTACTCTTATTTACGTGATACAGAAGCATCAAATTGGGCCTGTTCGAAACTAGTCGGTACTAGGCCTGTTGAACCAACAGCAGCTGATGCGGCCGCAGATGCGAACGAGGTCAAAGAAGCACTTGTCGAGGCCGCTGAAGTAGGCGAAGATGCAGTATATCCATACGAGAATCCAGTCCCCCCAGTGGAAGGAACTGGAGATGCCGCGCCGAAAACGCCAGCAAAAGAGCCATACTGAGATTCGGAATAGCCAGCCACATTGGAAGCAGGGCCACTTATGTTTTTTACGCCAATAGGAAGCGTAGCGGTGCCAAACAACTCGAGGGAATCAATTCCAGACGATCTCACAAGGGTTGAGATGTGACGCATGTGAGTTCGCTTCGACGAGAAGTTTCGGACAACCAGGAAGCCGTCTCGAGTGCCCAGAGCCATCAGCTCGAGACTCCAAGCCAGACAGGAAATCTGCTCACGGCTTGTGCTAGACAAACCTTGAATGCTAATGAACGAGAAGATAAACACAAGGGAAAGGAAGCGAAAGATGTAAAGCAAAATTAACACAGCAAACTATAAGGAAAATAAGAGTGGGCTAATAAAAAAAGGAATCAAAGAAGAAGAAATAATACCAAAAAATATCGTCTCTATAGAAATCTGGTCAAATGAAGCCAAATGATGTAAGGATAAAAAGAAGACGAGACGGTACCAATTTAGGGTTATACATGGGCTTTAAATTCAATATGAGTATTTTAATTTTGATTTATAAGATGGAACTGCGATAGCGACAGTTATGAATAGGCAAACAACATCAAAAAATGAATGCATTCTATATAAAAAAAAGTATTTAGCCTCTCATATTATAACGCTATGAACTTAAAATTCACCTATGCGGAGTTTGAGTGTGAATTGATAAGAAAGGAAAGAAAGAGATAAAGCAAGAAATAGGTTATCAACAGTTTGACCCAACATTAGCCATAATCTGGCTTCATTTTAGTCTTTTCTCGAATCATTTACAGCTAAAATAAGTGGAATGCGGAGAACATGCATCTGATGGCGGAAGATTACATTGTGGAAGTAACCGGGGCGGAGTGCACTGTATCCATGGTAAAGCCAATCATGCGAAGAGCCCCTGTGGCTGTGCAAGTAATGCAGGCCTCTCTAGGAAGACTAGGAGCATACGCCAAACTGGAACAAAATGGATGGTCAAGTTTTGGCACCAGAGAAGTAGACTCAGTAGGGACGAATTTGGTGGGAGAGGTGGCACCGAAGTCGCTGAAAGCAGTAGTGGAGTTGGCAGTTAGGCTTACACTCTCGGTTGCACCCAGGATGGAGGTAGTGCTCGAAGTTGAGGTACTGTCAGCTTTCACATTTGCATCTGGTGTTGACTCATCTATCTCGAAAGAGCTTTGAGTCGATAGACGTAGTGGGTTGGCAGTGGTGCGATTAGCAGCATTAGGCAGTCCTCGAGACACGGCAGAGGTCATGTTCGAAGCGGGGAACTGGTGCGTAATTCTAGAGAAGGCCACAGAGATGAGAGTATGGAAGGGTAATTTAATGCAGCAAATTAGTGAATATTTTGACGAGATGGTAAGTTTAAACAAACTATTGCACTAAATCCATAATAATATGCGAAGAAAACTTTGGCTTAAAATGATATCCTGTGCAGTAGCGAGTTCGACCAATGTCTAAGGGACAACGTAATTCTATAAACCAACATAATCCTTAGGCTATTGATGACTTATAAGGAAAACTAGAAGCTACATTCAAAGCAGAGATAGTTTAAATAAAAATTAAGACCAGAATAAAACAAGTCGAAAAAAGTAATCGAGCTCAATATAAAATCAGAGAATAAAAATTTCTCTTTGGGATGCTTTTATCACAGAACGAAATTTAAGTAAGCAAGAATGTGTATGAGAAGCCAACTAAAGTCGACTTCCTTTTGAATTCTTCTCCAAAAGCAACGATAAATCCCTAATAAGATCTTAATAGCTCTAGGTCGCTTAGAGTGATTTAAGGACTGAGAGGTGAACCATGCCATTAAATTTCACTTAGCCTAACCTCCCAAAAGACTATTTTATCAAGGGTGGACAGTAGTTCGACCTCATCCAGGTCTCGTCAACACCTTCAGCGGGATTCGAAACCAGGTTGTGATTATCGTGGCAAAGTTACCATTTCATCACATAACTGCTTTGGAGGCAAGGCTAGGTGAAATTTAATAGCATCCCAAGATCTATTTATTTCATTGTAGGGAAAGCAAGTTGATGGGGCCTTAGGTTTTGTCGCAGTCTCCTTCAATTTTATAGTGTTGGTTTAACCTCGTTTTCGTAACTTGCTCTGAGCGACAGGAAACCTTTGTAGAACGTACGATACGATAATCTCTAGCACCAGACGGTTGACTTGGTACATCGGACCAGTATCTTAGTCAGGATCGTTAGTAAGAGGCGTCATCTTTAACATGGAGTTACAACTTAGCAAAGTGACTAGGTACATTCCACAAGGTCTCCCTGTCGCCTCGGCCGAATTGCAAAACGAGGTTAACCAAAACTAAGTGTAAATCGAGCTTGCATTTTGAAAAAGAAATGGGTCGGGAGGAATTCTTTGATTGGTTTCACTGGAAACCGAAGAAAGATTGCCACGGAGTACAGACTGTTGGATTGTGTATAGAAGTTCTCGGCTCACCGTCCTGCAACTCTGATAAACCTTTACTAAGCTTTTGTCCGTCATGTGACAGGCATCAGAGCAATAAAGCATAATTTATAAAATAGCGCAGTAATATACCAAACCAAGGTTGGTATATTAGTTTAATATGTCGTTGAAGTATTTTCCCTCGAAAGGAAAACTACAGTCACACTAACTCACTAAGAGATCCTTAAATCAATAATGATCATATTCTCATTCAAGAATTATTGGTCTTCTAGAAAACTACTCACATCGAATATAAAACTTGACCCAGTCATCAGCTCATATAACCTGCAAAAAGATAAATTATCATTTTGGAATTTTGTAAACGAGATGATAGTTTATGAGACTTAGATTAATATGAGTATAAGTAGCATGTGAATAGAGCCATTTATTTGTTGGTTAGGT